ATGAGAAAGACTGGGAGCACACCTTTTCTGACTTGGCGTGTATTTGACCTTTGTTTTTGTTCTTGTTGTTTATTTATTTATTTATTTATTTTGGTACCGGGAATCAAACTCTGGACCTTGCACTTGCAGGTAGGCGCTTATGCCCCTGAGCTATATCCCCGGCCCTGTTTTTTTGTTTTGTTTTGTTTTTTGTTTTTTGGATTTTTTCCAGTACTGGGAATCAAACTCACAACGTTGCCCTTGCCAGGCAGGTGCTGTGCCGCTGAGCTAAATCCCCAGCACCCCCAGCCTTGTTTTTGTTTTTGTTTTTGTTTTTGTTTTTGTTTTTTTTGGTACCGGGAATCAAACTCAGCACCTTGCACTTGCCAGGCAGGTGCTGTGCCGCTGAGCCATCTTCCTGGCCCTGTATTTGACATTTGGAAAGTAACCTCATAAACCAATTTGTGATAAGGTTTTATTTACCAGCTAAGTATATAATCTCTCCCTAGGACGTTTACAATTTATCATTTTGTGATATGGACTGGAGCAAGGAGAAAGTGTTAGTCTCCTAAAAAGCCATCAATTAAAGGCAGGTGCTCTGCTTCATTGTTTGTTGGCAGTACTGCCCTGGTGACCTGGTGCTAATCTTCCCCTCATACCCACTAGTTGGAATTTAGGGTGTAACTTGTATCTTAGCCAAGGTAAGTCATAAATGGGAAGAGAGTGAAAAGAAATAGTAAACTACTCAAAAATGATACTGTCACCACTTTTTAATGGTAACAAGGAGATGGGCTATTCTTGGACCCATAGGGACATGTGTACATATTCAGTTCACAAAGAGAGAGCTTTGAAATCAAAAAAATAAGAATTCTTCAAAGCCCTTGTTCCAAGCTAATAACATTTGTACTGTGATCTTTGCCAACTAACTTCTCCTGAAGTAAGGACCAAGTCTTTAGCGCTTCTCTGTATGGTTATTTTTGACTTCCTAGGTGGAGTCATGAACCATCTCATACTCTTATTTTTTGTTTTTATGAGTACATATTTACAAGACATAATGATTACATTCTTTGCAGATAGCTGATACATTGCTTTATACTGTAACATTTATATTGCAGTTATGATGTTTCTTTTTGTCATTGTTTTTGAGATGGTCTCGCTATGTAGTTCAGACTGGTCTCACTATGAACCCACTGAACTCACTATGTAGCCCAGGCTTGTCTCAAACTCAAGGCAATTCTCCTGCCTCAACTTCTGGAGTGCTACAGTGTTTCTCATGTTTATTTGCTCTGAATTTATTTCCTTTGCTCAAAACCATACACATTTCTACTCAGATAATGTAAAACAAATCCTTGCTTTTCTCAATGTAGTAAGTTTCTATTGTGTGTAAAATTATTTAAAATAGTTGAAATCCTGGGCTAGGGATTTAGCTCAGCGGCAAAAGCGCCTGCCTGTCAAGCGCAAGGTCGTGAGTTCGGTTCCCGGTACCGGAGAAAAACCAAAAAAAAAAAAAATAGTTGAAATCCTTTTTAACACATAGTTTAAGGGTTCATTTTTTTTTATTGTTTTGTTTTTCTGAGACAGGGTCTCTCCATGTAATTCAGGATGACCTTGAACTCACTATGTAGCCCAGACTAGCCTCAAAATCCAGCAATCATCCTGCCTCAGCCTCCAGACTGCTGGGATTACAGGTGTGCACCACCATGCCTGGCTGCATAGTTTAAGGTTTTAAATGTTATTAGAGCATCATAAATTAGGAAAGGCAAAACAGAATTTTTTACACATTGTTTCTAAATTCTCTCACCTTTCAAAACAAGCATGTTTTCCCCCAGTAGACCTCAGTAGTTATTAAAGAGTATCCAGAGATAACTTCTTTCCCTCCCTTGTACCTAGACACTCAGTTTCTCTCTCTGGGGACAGGTGTGAGTAGGCTTCCAAAGATTTGTCCACGTACTCTAGACAATAAGTGTACGTATTCTTTGATTTCCCTTTCCCAAACAAATGGTAGCATGTGCTTCACGCTGCAATGCTCCTTGCTTTTTGCGGTTAACCCTACATCTTTTCCAGGGGAGAGGGGTGCTGGGGATTGAACATAGGGCCTACCCCTATGGTGTACCCCCAGTCCCCGCTTTATCCCACATCTTGAAGATTGGTCCATGTCCGGCTACACAAAGAGCTTCCTCTTTCTTTTTGACAGCTATCTGGTATACCAACAAATGGATACTTTAATGAATCCTCTGTTAATGGACAGTTGGGTAGTTTCCAATCTGCTTTGAATGACTAGCTTGTGTTGAGTACTAAGCTCTGTTCTCTGTGCTTCACATAAATCATTTTATTTAATCCTCAGAGCTGCAAAGAAAACCTTCCATATATAAAACTTCACACAAAGGGAGAATATATATGTGACATTATCTGAATATATATATGGATTGTCTCATCGTCTGGCGTTAGTTTGCATTTCTCTTGTTATGAGTCAAGCTAAACATCTTTTTGTAAGCCAGAACACCTTGTGTTTCCTTTTCTTATAAATTGCTCATTATCTACTGATTTGCCTTAATGATGTGGAAGTCCTCCGTTAGTGAAATTACACATCGCCTATGATGTGAATTGCAAATATTCTTTTAGTTTTGCTCGTAGAATTTTTGCCACGAAGATTTTTAAGTTACATAATTGAATTTATCAACCTTTTTGGTTTCTGGTTTTATGCCGTTGTTAGCCTGAGATTAAAAAAACGCAATTCCCATTTTTTTTTTCCTAGTACTTATATGGGTGTTTTTCTTTTTTATATTTAAAGTTTTGATCTTTTTGAAATTTATCTTGATGTAAGGAGTGGTGGATAAATTCCACTTTGTGTTTTAGATAGCTAGCCAGTCTAATCAATACTAATTTATCTCACAAATTGGAGATGCCACTTTTTATGATAAGCTAAACTAAACTCTGATAACAGAGTTTTAGAATGAGGTGGTGCATATTATTTACTAATGTCCAGTTCGTATCATCTCTACTTAATAACCAAGCTTCCTGAGAAAGTAATTACTGAGCTTATTATTTTCTACTGAAAAAAATTATATACCAAGCTTGTGAGAGTACATTATCTGAGTAGAAATGTGTATGGCTTTGAGCAGAAGAAATAAATTCCAAGCAAATAAACATGCAAAGTTGGAATTATTTAATCAGATGCTTTTAAGAATAATCTCAGTTTTGTTTTATGAAAATGGATAGGCAGTTATGTAACGGAAAGAAATCTGGAGTAGGAGACAGGTGGCCTGCCAACCTTATTTTTGTTTTGGCTTTTTTTTGTTTTATCTTAGTGTGGTCTCTTCATAATTAAAGAAGAATGATGATCTCTTAGAACATGGCCTGGCCTACAGTAAATGCTATCTATTTATTAACCATTCAGTCCATGTAATTAATAGTTTGTAATTTGTTATAAATCATCAAATGTTAAATATTATTATCACGACAGCGTCAACAGACCCTATCTCAGTCAAGACAAAACCCAGAAGCAAATTCGATATTGCTGTGAACCACATACGTGGAATAAAGTCAGTAGTTAAGTACAGGATGAGTATCATGGAGAGCCTGTGGCTTCGGTCCTTTCACATATGCAGGTCCCTTGCTCTGAACGTCCTCCCCCTAACACCTAAGTGTGTGTGCTTCTTTTCTGTAAGGGTGCTATCACATATCACCTCAAGGCCTGTCTTCCAGGTAGAATTATTCCTTCAATCTTCTGATTGCCCAGCACTTTAGATACTTTGGTATGCATTATTATAGAGGTAGCTTCAATAGTTTTTGTCTCATCAACTAGACTGAACTTTTTGAGAGCAGAGCCTGTGCATTATTTTATCTTTATTATCTCTGCTCAGCTACTGATGTATTCCCTGACATATAGTAGATGTTCAGTTGAAAGAAAAAAGAAAAATTTGACCACATGTTTATGCAGTATCCTGGTCAATTAACAGGCAATAGTAAGAATCAGCATATTTAGCTGTGGTAGCTAGTAAAACCCAATTTACTCATTGATTATATTTCTGAATGTATGAGCACCTGAATACAAGGTATTAAATGGTTTGTAGCCTATTTTAAATGTGTGATCTATTGGGTGAAAATCAGACAATTTCTGTAGTTGTATATTTGACCTATCCCATTTGTTTGTGGTGGTGGGAATTGAACCTTGCATTTTATTTTTAAGAGTCACACTTGTGGTGCTTGCTAAATAAGAATATTGATTCAAATAAGATTAGAAAATAAACACAAGCATCACACTTTGTGTTCAGACTTTTTCTAGTTACAACTATCTGGAACTTATTCAAAGACCCAAGAAGAATCCAAAAATGCCTCTGAAGTTTGAAGAAAAGAGCTCTCATGAAGCCTGTGTACTTGATAAGGGGTGGCGGGGCCAAGGGTGGGGGGATGCTTTGCTATGCACGCCAAAGCCTACTTACTGACTGAATTTTCGTGGAAAACTCTAAGGACTGCTTAGCAAGCATGGCTCTTCAGCTTCCTTTCAAGACATTTTAGCTTGTCTTGAGTTTCAGTTAAAAAAAGAAAGATTAAAAGAACTCTCCCACCCGCTGCTGCCAGAAGGCACTAAATAAAGCATTGTTGACATGAGTGTAAAACTGATTCTTGTGTTTTTCTCCTATAAATCATGGGAACTCATTTTGTTTTTAATCTTTAAGAATTCTGATGGGCTCATATAAAATGAGGTTTGACAATACTTAGTTTTTGCTAGTTTTTAAAATCGGAGTTTTAAAAACTGTTGTCCCTTTGATCTCACCTTGCAAGTATTTATACAATTTATCATAGGTTGAAATCCTGTGCATGAAAGGAGTATGCATACATTTCTTGGCAGAATTTGGAATAAGCCATATAAGTAAGCCGAGTGGAAAGGTCAAAAGGCATGTTTTGGCAATTCGCAGAACTATTTCCATGCATGTTACACATGCTTTTTTTGTGGAAAGATTGTAGATTAATGAAAGTCAATATCATTCCGTTTCTTTTCTTTCTCCTTCTATTTCTAGATTGCCAAAATGCTGTGGAGTTTTTAACTTAATCTAAGAAAAGTCGAAAATAGATTCGAGACTGTAAAAACAGAAGCTGTAGCAAGAGGGATTCAGTGCCAATGCATCAACAAAAAAGACAACCAGAGCTAGTGGAAGGAAATCTTCCTGTTTTTGTGTTTCCCACGGAGCTCATATTTTATGCAGATGATCAATCAACACATAAGCAAGTGTTGACTCTGTACAATCCCTATGAGTTTGCCTTAAAGTTCAAAGGTGAGTCTTCTAGATCTGTCTTACGCATTTTTTACTAGTCCCTACTAATGTTTTTATTTGTAGAAACTAGTTGTTTTAAAACCACTAATGGCCACTGTGACTTTTTCTTTCAGTTTTGTGTACTACTCCAAATAAGTATGTTGTCGTTGACGCTGCAGGTGCAGTAAAGCCTCAGTGTTGTGTGGATATGTAAGTCAAAATCCCTTCCTGGTAACACGTTTCCAGTGTGTTAATATTTCTGCTGTTAATTGAAAAAAAACCTGTTCGTGCAGCTGTTCCCACATAGGCATTTATACTCTTTGGATCTTTTGCTGAAATGTATCAAAATTTAAGAAGTTTCTGAGAGATTCTAAACAAACCAACCAAATAATACTTCATGATGTTGGAGTTAATGTATGTGGCAGGAGTTCCTCGACTGTCTCCTCAACATGGTTTTAACTGAAGCAGAGGTGTTGATGAAGGCCAAGTTCTGACTTGTTCCTTTTGGTGTCTGTAGCTATAATAGGGAATTTAGCTTTCTTTAAAACATCCTGCTATTACCGTGACATTTGGGAAACTAATAATACTGTGGTAGCAAAACAATGGCAATATAAGTTCATTCAGAATGATTCAGCTAATAAGCCTGGAAGTTAGTCTATACAAACAGGAAGCGAGGGTGTAACTACTCATCTGTAAAAGGTTATCTGAGCGCTTCCAGATAATTTCGTCTTAGAGTGTCAGACTGTTTGTTCAAGCTGTTCATATTTAATTTTCACTTTAGAACTAGTGGTGACCATATGGATCCATTGACCAGGCCTTAATTTAAACCACCAAGTAAACTATATTTGTTAAAATCTTCTATGAGAATGAGACACAGAATTCTTTCCTTGAATATATTGGCATCATCTCAAAGCCATAAATTGATGTATATTTGAGAATGTGCTTTTCCACATTTCTGTGGATTTTCACTCAGTATACACTAAGCAAGAACTACTCCCCTTAAAGGTAGCCTTATCAAATAAATGTGTTATCCTCCACATAACTGTTGCATGTTCCCTAGGAAGGACAAAGTACAATAAATTATCGCAGAAAACATAAGCATGTTGGTGCTGTATATCCTTGTCTCTTTAGAAAAGTGCAGAGGGGTATTAATAACCCTCTAGTGCACTGGGCATAGTGGACTAGCTACTTACGCAGTTACTTATTTTTACCTGTGTGCAAATCCATTCTGAGTTCTGAGTAAGTTTTACTGCTTGAATAATAAATTAGTGGCAAAGAAATTTATGGTATGCTTATAGGGGGAAGCTATTTCATATATTCCTGTTTAAGAAATATTGCTTTACACAGCTATCTAGAAAAAAGTCATTTAAAGGGAATTTACTTATCATTCTTAAGACTATTCTATATCTTATTTATATTTGCCTCAGCCTCCCCCTTTCTATATTTTAGAATATGTGTGTTCATCAGATATTTTACAAGTACCCATTTCTGGCCAGGAATGGTGACACATCTCTAATCCCAGCACTCAGGAGGCTGAGGCAGGAGGGTGCCATCCATGCAAGGCCAGCCTGGGCAACATGCAAACATACATGGCCTGCCTGAACTACATAGCAAGACTCTGTCTCAAAAAAAAAAAAAAAAAAGAATTACCCATTTCTTTGGGGTTATATTATGATATTTTTTTGCATCATTAGTAAATTTCTAGTTTTGAGTATTTGGTTATATTCAGTTAATATTATTTTACTGTGTTAAAATCTCCTGTTGCATTGTGTTTGACAGGCCCCAGAAACTGAAATATAGTACTTGTTATTTTTTGCCATTTTCAGTGTGATTCGTCATAGAGACGTTCGATCCTGTCACTATGGTGTGATAGACAAATTCCGTCTCCAAGTTTCCGAGCAAAGCCAGAGGAAGGCTCTAGGACGGAAAGAGGTGGTCGCTACTCTTCTCCCGTCTGCAAAAGAGCAACAAAAGGAAGAGGAGGAGAAAAGAATAAAGGAACATTTAACTGAAAGTTTATTTTTTGAGCAGTCATTTCAACCAGGTAGTATTGGGTTGTTTTTAAAGCCCTTTGGGAGTTGACTGATACATTTCTAAATTTAAAATAATAAAAAAGCTAAGCAAAAGTACTAGAAAGTGAATCTGCTACTTTAAACCTAGTCAACTTCAAAATTGAACCTAGAGACAAGGTTACCTGAAAAAGAGCAGGAGACCCAGATGGTTTGGAAGAGAGGATGGCCCCCACTGGACCGGGCAATAAAGAGTGGGCAAAGGTTATTGTCGATGTATAGTGTATGTTTTATATGTAAATAAAAAGCCTTTTTGCTAACGTACTTTTAATATTTTAGTGCCATATATGTAAATATAAACATGTATATAGTTCATATTAGGGATTATTTATCTACAAAATATAAACTTGCAGACTGCAGGCACCATGTTTTCTGATGCTGGCACACTTCGGCAATAATACACTTTTGTTTCTATGACTTTCTTATATCCTTTCTCATTTGATTAGTTCAAAGGAGGAGAGAAATTGTGTTTGGCAATAGGCCAAGTTTAGTGTGCTGTTCATATTATTTTGAAAAAAAATCTCATTAAAGTTGAAGTTAATTAAACTAAGTAGATTATAATATCCCCTGTGGGCTATTAATTGAATCCCTCTGCACTTCTCATTTCCTTCTAGCTTAGATATTCAGAAGTGTTATGATATATTCTTTCGACATTGACAGTATCCTCCTAGTCAGCTCTTGGGATATGGTTCCCCCTCCCTCCTAACCTCTCATTCTCTCCTCTTAAACCTGTTATAAGAGCAGGGAGATAACATTGTCCATAGAAAACAGAGAAAATTTTTGATGGTGGTATATGAATATGATAACAGTTGTCCTTAAAATTGTAGCATATTACATAGGAGAGTTTTAAAAAATCCACTTGTCGTTAGATTAATTCATAGACCCATGTCAGTTTGTTCATCTTCAGATGTTTATTCCCTGTAGCCAAGTGTCTTATCAATCCCTGCGAAGAAGACCAAGATTTCCTGGTGATACTAGGGCAAGGGACAAGGTAGTAGCTTGTAGATTGTGTTTTCTTCTCAGCAACTACCAGTTGGCAGGACAATCTTTTCATCTTTTGAGGAAAGAGGACATTTGTCAAATGTCATTTTGTCAGATCAATATTGAGAAGTTGACCTATTTGTGAAATGCAGGGTTCCCCCTTCAAAATGCCTCCTCTAATAATCCCAGCACTTGGGAGGCTGATGCAGGAGAATCGCTGCGAGTTTGAGGCCAGCCTGAAGTACATACCAAGACTCTGTCTCAAAACAAAACAAAAAAAAGCTTCCTAGAAAAAAATAGTTTCTTAAAATTCAGGTGAAAATAACCCTAAAAGACTGAATAATTATATTGTTTCACTCTTATTTTATCTTTATAAAAAACATTGTCATCTAAAGTATATGAGAGAATTTTAATCGCAATGTTGGAGTTGGTAGATGCATTAGCATGGTGGTGGTCTCTGTTTTAGCGGAAAAAGTCTTTAAGTTATTGCTGTCAGGAAGCTCACTGAAGGCAGGCACCTTATTTGTCTTGTTCACCATTCTGTTCTCAGTATGAGCATAGCGTCCAGCACAGAGTGGTTGCACCGGAAATGCATGACTCGGCTCACTGGAGCCCTTACATCTATGTGGGCAAATTGATGTATTTTAACTTCCCTTGTCTAATAATTTAGTAGTAATTTATGTGTGGTTTCCAGGATGTATAATGTTCAGGTTTTCTCATTAACTTTCCCTGAACTAAAAATGTCAAAATAAATTAAGATTGTTTTGTGGAAGTTTTTTCTGTGAGGTTTTTCAGTGTCATTATTTTTTCAAGTTGTTAGCTTAGAAAGCTCTTCATCAAAAGCCTATTACTAGAAGTTCTGCAAGTGCAGCAATGTTAAGAGACCCACCGTTAGCTGGAAGAGGACAGAAGGCTGCATCAGGAAATATTTTGATTTTTAAAATATCTTGAAAGTCCGTGAAATGAGAAGTTTTTTTAAGTTTGGTGTATAAAAGACATTCAGCAGTAACAAATTCAAAAAAGAAAGCACCTATAATCCCACGCACTTAACAAATCTGCTTATGTAAGTGTTCCATGTTACTTTCTAGACCTTGCCTATGTGTATAAATCCAGTTTTGTATCTTGTCAGGTTTTGGTTTTAGTTTTTGTTGTTTTGGTTTTTCTGAGACAGGGTCCTGCTAGTAGTAGTTCAGGCTGGTCCTGAACTCACTATGTAGCCCAGGCTGGCCTTGAACTCAAAGCAGTCCCCCTGCTTTAGCCTCCTGAGGGCTGGGATTACAGGAATATGCTGCCACACCTGGCTTGAGTTTCGGGCCTGTTGTCAGTTTTTTATTCAACAGAAATTTAAGTGTTAAATTGAGGGAAACCAAAAAAAACCTTTCATAAAATACAAGAGCCAAGGTTATTAAAAAGACAATTTAAAAGATCTAACTGAATTTTGCTGGGTTTGTCTTAATTACATTGTTAATGAACTGCTGTCTTTTCTGTTTTCGAGTCTGTGCCTTCTGGCTTAAGAAAATTATGGTTTTTATTATTGTTGATAGTAATAAAACTTTAAAATGACCTAAGAGCCCATCAATTGAGAATTGATTAAATTATGCATGTTCATTAGGTGGAGTGCAAGGCAGTCATTTACAAAGATCTGATAGAATGATGTTTATATATTGACACAGAAAAAGCTTCAGACATATTTCACATTTAAGGGGAAGAAAAAGTCAGGCACGGTGATACACAGCTGTAATCCAGCTCTCAGGAGGGTGAGATAGGAGTTTCTCAAATTTGAGGACAGCCTGTACTGCACAACAAGTTTGAGGCCAGCTTGTACCACACAGAGAGACACTGTCTCAAAAACAAAATTAAGAGGATTACAAAAGTTACATAACAGTATTTATAACATGATTTACTTTCTGTAAAAAAGCATATGTTTATATAGGTAATTTATAAAATCTAAAAGGATATACACCAAGCTGAGAAGATGGAATGATGGCAAAAACTTTTTTTTTGTTGTGTTTTGTTTTGTTGTGTTTTTGAGACAGGGTCTCACTGTGTAGTTTGGGCTGGCCTGGATCCTCCTGCCTCAACCTTCCGAATATTGGCATTACAGGCATGCACCACCATGCGTGTCCTGTTTTGTTTTTTTGAGACAGGATCTTGCTTTGTAGTTCAGGCTGGCCTTGAACTGACTATAGAGCTCAAGCTGATCTCCAATTTGCAGCAGTCCTGGCCCAGCCCTCTGAGTGCTGGGGTTACAGGCGTGCACCACCACTCCCAGCTTTGTTTTCCATAGCTTTATAATATCTTCACAGTGTTCACATAGTACCAAGGAAATGGCTATTTCCATTTTGAAAAATTTCAAGCCTTTATGCAAATATTTTTGGAATTTCTATAAATACTAAATCTTCTTTGGAATCATGTTTATTATAATTTTGCAGTAAGCAACATAATTTTCATGAATTTTTCCTTTAATATCCATCCCTATAACCAACATAGATCTGAAATTACTTCATTTATTAACTAAAACTTGATTTTTTTTAGGCATTTTTGCTGTTGGTTCATTCCCATGCATAATCACTATAGAATTTGAATTTTTTCACCTGTTTGTCTTTGATAAGCTTCAACTAAACTCTAGAGCAGCAAAGGGGTATAAATAATTTAGAAAAGCTCCATTTACAAATAGAATAAACAGTGTTATTTCATTAATAAAATACCAACATTGTGTTGCCATTGGCTATCACTTTGTAGTCAAAGGAAGATTAATGGAAAAAGCCATATAACAGAAAATGCTATTGGGTTTCTTTAGAAGATGGGTATGTATATTCTACACATATAGTCTGAACAGTAGAATAGCGGGCTTAATATTAGATCATTTACATTTTTATTTTATTGTGAGAACATTCAACATGAGATCAACCCTCTTAACATTTAAGTGTATAATATTAGCTATAGGACAAGGTTGTAGAACAGATCTCTAGACCTTCATCTTGCATAACTGCGACTTATAGCTGTTGATTAGCAACTCACATTATTCTCTCCCAGGCCCTGGCAACTACTCTCTGGTCCTCAAGTTTTGACTATTTTAAATATTTCATTTAAGTGGAATCATGTACAATTTGTTCTCCATGGCAGCCTTATTTTTACTTAGCATAAATTTGCCAGGTGTTGTTTCTGCTGCTTTCTTCTGTACTATAAACGAGGTAGAGCAGCAGGGGGCAAGAAATTTCATAAGCAGGTTTATAATAACATTAATATTTTCAGAAATGGAAGCAGGATGCTGTAATTATTAGACTCAAACTTGCCCGGCAGCCTCCCTAAGATACTCACAGACGGTAGTGCAGTGCTAGTGCAGTGGGCTCAAATGATGTCCAGCTCAAATGAAGACCTAGGATGTGGTTATGTCCTGCTGAACCCATTGTCAGTCACATCCATGGAATATTCCGAAACTCCTAAATTTCGTGGTTTGATTACACAATACACTGGAGTTTGTTGGTTGCCTCTTGTGATTGCATGGCTGGCCAGGAGCTATAGCTCACTGCTACTGCTCAGTATTGCAAGATCATACCACATATCACTAGCCCAGAAAAGACTAAAACTCAAACGACAGGGAGTGCAGCTTCTACTGAATGTGTAACCCATTTGTACTGTCATAAAGTCAGGCCATCTTAAGTCTATTGTAATACTATAGAGGAAGAAAATACTGAAAAGCAATTTGCTTTTAGCACATTTTTTAGGATTCTATTTGTATGTTTTACATTAAGCATTCTAGTACAGAAATTATGCAGATTATTTATAAATATACATGTACTGACAGTACCTTCTTGAACACTACTGACCCGGGTGGGATGTGGTAGCAAGGAGTGGCAGGCTGCTGTTCTTTGCGGTAGGAACTCGCTGTGTCACAATGCTGCATAAGGATACCCTCTTGTCATGGCTCAAAGCACTTAAGTTACAGGCTTCCACTTAAGTGCAGCAGATAGGTCTCCATGGAATGGGTGGGATGGGGAAGGAGTCAGAGAAGGTGGCCATCACAGAATCCTGGGGGGTGGTGGCCAGTATATGTGAAGGAGCTTTGGAGTTGTTTTTAGAAGCAAGCTCAGAGGTTTTTGTCTTTTTACAGAAAGCAAAAGTGTCTCCTCAGGACCTAGTTTACTGACGGTCTTCCTGGGAGTGGTGTGCATTGCAGCCCTGATGCTGCCTACGCTGGGGGACATGGAATCGCTGGTGCCTCTCTACCTCCACTTAAGTGTGAATCAAAAATTAGTGGCTGCTTATATCTTAGGTAAGTGTTTTAAAGATACATTTGGAATGTATGTATAGGGTTTATTTGTGGGAAGTGGTTTGATTTCTTTTTTTTTCGTTTTTTTTGTAAAACAGATGAAGGATTGCTTCAAAAGCTTGTTGACATCAGGTGCATTTGAAGATTTAACTTTTGTCTCACATTATTTCTCTTCACCTTACTTATCTAGTAGCTAAGACTGTATTTACGGAATGACTTTGCTTTTGCTGAGCTGCAGTGGTGCGAGCCATATGTAAAATGCATGTATTCCATGGTATAGCACTTGTGCGTGTAGGAGCCGCTCCAGGAAAACACTCAGACAAGGTGCTGAATGATGCAACCATATTTAAGATTATGAACATTTCCCTTGAAACTGGATCCTTATGTCTTGTTCAGTCATTTGGCTTTAAATCATATTAATAATTTCAATTGAGCAAGCATATATTAAGTTCTTTCCATGTGTCAAGGATTCTGGTTGTGGTGATAAAGGACTCTTTCTTCATATTCTTTTCTCAGCCCTACTTAGATGCCAACTTTTTCGAGACTTCACTCTCAATATTTTTGGTGCACTCTCTTTTATTTTTTATCTCAAAATTTTCTTCTATATCGCTGCTCGACCTTCTGTGTCTGCACCTCTCCTCCCTATTCCTTCCCCTCATTGTGTCCCTCTTCATGTTGCAGTCAGGTTGAATTCCATTCTGTTTTGATCTCACAGCCATTCCCTACTCCAAAACCTTCAGTGCATCCCCATAGTCCATAGGCTGAAGTTATAACTCCAGAATTTGCCATGTAAGGGTCTCCGCCGTCTATGTGAGACCCCACTGAGCTATCTTGTCAAGCTGCTTTGCTACATAAACCCCTGAATAGAGCCTGTTGGATTAATTATCGATTTTAGAAAAGCTCATGTAGAATAGTGGACTTCCTCCTGGACCACTCACTCTCCTGTAATACCTGACCAGCCCACCGTTCTGCATCTTTTCTGTTCATCTTTTCAGGCTCATCTCAGCTTTTACTTTTGGAAACAGTGTTGCTGACTACCCCGGTCCTATGTGATCATCTTCCATCTGTGTTCTTTTTGTGTTGGTTTGCAGTGTGAGGGATGGAACCCAGGGCCTCACACATGCCAGGCAAGCACCGTACCACAGGGCACCACTTTTTGATCACTCACTGTCCTCACTACTCATTTATAGCTGGCATGTCCTTGTTTTATTAAATGCTTATGGTTTTATATGTGGACTCTCTCAAGGGAAGCGGGGATGCTATGCCTTTCTCTCTTTGTGGCCTTTGGGCCTTGATACAAATAGGTTCTTGATGCTTCTGTTGATAAAGTTTGTTGGTTTAGGCAACACTTTAAAATGGCATGTCTGGGGCTGGGGCTATAACTCAGCAGCACAGCGCCTGCCTGGTAAGCGTAAAGTTCTGAGTTTGATTCCCGGTACCAAAACATAATAAAATAAAATAAAATGTCAGGTCTGCTATTATTCTAGCTGATGTGACTAGACAAAGTAGGAGGTATATTTGACGGTGAAATTAGCTATAGGCAGACATCACTGATTTAATTAAATCTATCCAGTGACTACCCATTGCTATAAGTTGGATTTCTTCTGTATAATATCAACTACATTCAAATGGAACTTGTGCTCTTGATAGTGTCTACCTGTGTACTATATTTTATTTGTACATTGTGGCCCAAACAATTGCTTTTTAGACAGAAGATTGTAAACTGCATGCCTTTAATTGTTCTCCAACATTTTTTCTTTCAGGTCTTATCACAATGGCTATACTAAGAACATGAGCAAGGATTTCAACTGACTTCTGAAGTAAATTTATCTTAAATATGAATGTGGACTGCCTTTCTCTATTTCACTCCATTAACATGCTACAAACTATTGAATGATTTCAAATAATTGTAAATGTATAATATATATTTTAAATTACTCTATAATTTTATTTGAAGGACTCTAGCACATTATGTTCCAGACAGCAAGGATGCTTCTGAGTGACAGGAAATTATTTGATGAAATTCTTTTTATATCTGTACATGTGGTACAAAAGACTTTAATTAAAACGTTTGTTATTTTCTCATCTTTTTTTTTCATTCACTTTGATTGATAAGGATCATGGGTCCTTCAAAGTTAAAAGCCTCAAAGAGCAAACTTACCAGCCTGAAAATCAAATTACATTTATTTCCTAGCTGTGAACATCAGCATAACTGTGTGAATTATACTCTGCCCTTTATTGACATGAAGAGTTGCTATGATGTTTCTAAAATAAGAGTTTTACAGTTAATGTGCAGAGGGTTAAAAAGGGGATAAAGTACTAAGGGATCATGCTTATCCTCGGCTCTCACGAAAGATAGAACCTATTTAATTCATTTTGTGTACTACAGAGTGGGTTGTGGTCCAGGCACCAAGCATAGGAAATAGGTTGACCTCTCTATTGGGTCTAAGAGTTCTAAAGGAAGGCTGGCATGTGTGTAGTTAGCTGGTTCAGCCTGGCTTTACCTCTGGTGAATGCTTTATGTTAATGGGGGATCACTTTATCTTTTCTTCTAAGCCCCTTGCCTGCCTGACTATAAGTGGCTCGTCCAGGTTGGGATTATCAGAGACCAGGTGGCTTGTGTGAGGATGATTTTTTCCTTTAAAACTCTAAGCCAAGTATAGAAAACCCTTGATACCAGTGTCTACTTTATATCTGTCACTGAGACATTTTTAAGTTTTTATTTATTAAAACAACTTTACCAAAAAATCCCCTAAGCACAACATTTC